TTAAATGATCCCCGACATCAGATCGGGACACATCCACATGATCTTTTAAATGGAACAGTTCAGTATTGGGTTTTGGGTTGTTGGTTTTATGGTTTGGTTTTTTGTTTGTTTGTTTGTTTGTTTTTTTTAAAAAAAGTCCCTCTCTCTTTTTCCAATCTAATGGATAGGATACAGCTGCTACACACAAATATTTCCTTTCTTCCAGTTGTCAGACACTGCCATCACTGAAAGAGGGGACAGATTTCTGATAATTCACTGGTCTCAAACAGTTCTTTTGGGTCACTTTTATCAGATGTGACCTCCCACAAGATGTAGAAACAAAAATTACAAAATGATGGCTGAGCCTCAGCAGCCCAGCTGATTTAAACTTAATTCAATAGGTTAATTTTAATACCAGGGTAAAGCAAACCTCTTTTATATATACACAAGTATATCAATAAAGGGAGTGAGACTCTGTGTGCATGCTTATTTTATATATACATATTAAAAATTAGTACTGAATCTTTTCCTTAGTAATTTACCATAAACTTTTAATAGATGAAATACTACATTAAAACTAAAGGCCCACAGGATGAAAATTCCATTCATCCAGACAGTGCATACACAAGGGGATGAGGTCACGCCCAAGAACTTTTATTACGTAAGAAATTAAAAAAAATAAAGCAATAAAGGAAAGACATGAACAAGTTAAAGAACAAAAGATAATAACAGGCTTCAGAGTTATAAAAGAGGGAGAAATAGCTTATAGGACATTTTAAGATACAGATAGTTTACAAACAGCGAGACAAGTTTGCACCATTACTGATGTTAGCAGCAGGCCTGCTAGTGCTGAGATTGCAGCTCAGGACAGATATCATAGGGAGCAGGACTGGCTTTGCACAGTGCGTCATGTGGCACACCTTGGGATCAGAGGTGAAACAGAAACAGCAGCAATCAGCTCTCTAGCACAGTGTAAAACTAAACAACAGAGCTGAAATTTTCATAGAAGAGCCCAGGGAGACTAGCATAGTTAGGTAAGATGTTAACAATCCTAACTCATTCAGCACTTTTTCAGCAGGGGAACAAACAAAAAACCCAAACACACGAAAACCAAGACAATGAAACACCCAAAGCCCAGCACAAACCCCAGTGAAGTACACAAACCTTTGGTCTCCAAACCTTTGAACGTTTGCGAAGCAGCTTCAGAGCACTAACGTATTCAGCTTGTATTCTCCGTGCAGGCACAATTAAATCACCATCAGCTTTATTTATAGCCACTAGATCTGCCATCTCAATTATACCCCGTTTGATACCCTAAACGGAACAGGGAGAGAAATTGTGAATAACCAGGACTCTGATATGTTGATTTTTCACAAAAAGCAGGTCAAAACCTTTTGTTAGTTTCTGGTAACTCTTACTAACTTTTTGTGTGTGCATGTGTGTGTATGTGCTAGCCATGCAAGAGTAGTAGCAACAGCCTCTGTCATTACTAGTTATTACTCTACTTTGACACAAGAAAACTAAATACAGGTATCAGCGTTTACATGATAACCTATTTCATGTGTAGAGTCTTAAGTTTAACCAAAACATGACCAAGTCTGCAAACATATTTATATTGATTTCTGGTTTTCTGTAATACAAAGCCACTCCCCAAAATCATATGTAACTAGTAAATAGGACAAAGTAAGGCAGAGAGTATAAAAATTTTACATCATGATACTTCCAAAATCAGGGAGGGAGATCAGATCCTAACTGTGCAATACATTGGTAAGACACTGAAAAGACTTCAACAGTAGCAGTGCAACTCACGAAACACTACCTAGATGGACTTCTGCACAGACAGATAACTTCGTCTTGCATTGAGGTTTCTCCTTCTAGTCCTAGGTAATACTTAATAAGAAGAACTGAAAAATACCTGTAATTCATCTCCACCTGCAGGTGGTAGCAGTAATATAAACATATCAACCATATCAGCCACAGCAAATTCTGACTGTCCCACACCTAAAAAATTAAACCCAGAGTTCACCATTTATTGCAAGCTTTCAGTTACATTAATAACAGTAAATATGACAGATCCCAGTATTGCACCATGAACAAATCCTACTAACAAACACACACAAAAGGAACACAACAGTTTTTACAAAACAGTGTTTTTACAAAATGTAAGTTTTTACAAAACAGCTTTTTTACAAAACGTACAGGACTAGAAAATTGACAGAATGGGCATTCATTTTCAAGCAGCGGCCATGTACGAAAGTATGACCAAAGTCAAGGATGGAAGTATGCAATTAGAAACACACTTTATTTAGATATCACAACAGGGTAATTAAAAGAAAACCCTAAGCACATACCTACTGTTTCCACAAGAACAACATCGTAGCCTCCTCCTTCACACAGCAGAATGGCTTCATTTGTAGTCCTTGTCACACCCCCCAGTGTCCCTCTGGTTGGAGAGGGTCTGATGTATGCATTCATGTCTCTTGACAACTCAGTCATCCGTGTTTTATCACCCAACAGAGAACCTTAGACATTTAACGTTAAATTATTTCAAATGTGTGAAACAGCCAAATTTCCCCCTCTCCCTTCCCCACCCAACAAATGAGTAAGAAAAGACAGATGTCTAGGACAAAGTCAGTCAAGTCAGAATATCCCAGTAATAGCTGCTCAAGACTTAGCTGAGGACTAGGAAGTTACTGACTGGTTCTTCTGCCTATCAGAAGCTGGAAAGGCCTGACAAGCAGACCTTACTGCTACCAAATATGCAGAATTCATTCTAGGTCAGAACGAATTCTGCAAGTCCTGAACGGCTTTTTGAGGCCTATACACAGCAGGCCACACAATTAAATCTTTGCGGTTTCAGTCCAAAGGCACAAACCTCAGCCTTATGACTCTGGTATTTGTTGATGGTGGATTTTTGTTTTGTTTTGTTTTTAAGAAAGCTGATGTGCATCCCTGCCTTCCTTCTACTCATACAAACTTTAAATGAGATTCAGTGACATCTGCATGCATGATGCACATTCCAGACGCTGAGAGATACTCAATTCTTTTCACAGAATCACAGAATGTCAGGGATTGGAAGGGACCTCAAAAGATCATCTAGTCCAATCCCCCTGCCAGAGCAGGAACCTAAATGAGATCGCACAGGAAGGCGTCCAGGCAGGTTTTGAATGTTTCCAAAGAAGGAGACTCCACAACCCCCCTGGGCAGCCTGTTCCAGTGCTCTGTCGATGCAGTCTTGCTATCACATTTTGCTATTCTGTAGATGCATGTTGAATGTATACATTCAAGAATATAGTCTGTCTTAGCTCCAGGTCACTGAAACGTTGAAGGTTTTTTCTTTTTCGGTAGTTAAACATTGCAACATCTTCTCTAACAGCATAAAAGCTGGAAAAAGGAATGATGTTCCCTGGTAGCTGCCCATTAGAAAAAGATCAAAATCAAGATTCTATTATTTATGTCAGAGATACCATTAATCAAGCATAGTCAGCCTATAATGCCCCTACAAATTCTGATTTGAAAGTGACAGATTACAATCACACAACTTTGAAGAATTTCAAATTCAGGAAAAAAACCCACCATACTAGAAGTCAGACAAATGGTCAACAACACTGCATGAGGAGACCCTGAAACCAGTATAGTCAACAGAAATAAAAAAATTCCTGTTGAGAAAAATTAATAAATGTTCTAAAATCCAACCTGATCAGATTGCAGCATCCTCTAAATAGTTTTAAATTAGCACCTGCTTCCTGTTCAGTAATCAATATTAACACTGTTGAAATTTAAGCAGAAATAAATGCCCTTCTACTCCTTCATTCACAGGGAAATAAATAAATAAACAAACGCAACTAGAGAGAGACCACAGCTACCTAAATTTTCAGACAAAATGTTGTAAGGCAACATTCAAACACCAGAAATGAGGAAACCTGACAAAATTAGGGCACTGATATGTATTTCCAGATTTCATATCACCTGGGGAAAAAAATGAAAACACATTTCTTTTTAATATTTTACTTTTATAGGCCCACAAATTTTCCTCCATTTGGCCCAAAAAGATACTCCTATAGTTAACAAGGTATTAAGAAACCTGACTCAAAACTTTAATTCACACTCACCACCACTTGTACTAGAGGAAGGGTCTACAGCCAACACGGACACTTTGTATTTTCTTTCTGTAAGCATTTTGCCAAAGCATTCTATGAAAGTCGATTTCCCAGCACCAGGAGGACCAGATAACCCTAAATAATCATATTAGGAAGAAAAAAACCATTTTGTTAATCAAATAAATAATACATCACATGAACACCATCGATTAAATTGATAACAATTCATACTTTAGCACAGTATCACAACAAAGGCAAATTAAAGCTGTATCACAACCGAAATACCCAACTAAGCAGTTGCAACTGACTTGAAATACACCACCTTGGTTCACTGCAGACAGTAGCACTGACTTCACCACCCTCATCCTACCCATACCAACATAACATTGGGTTTATCCAGCCTTATTTCCTCTCTTCCATATAATTTATCACTACTGATTTATACTGCAGAACTTTTAAAATGCCATATCCTAAATCTGTATTTTTTTTATTTACTAACTAGTTATAAAATAAATTTTCTAAAAGCAAAAACCCTTAACTTGAAGAACTGTTATTCAAAAAAAAAAATCGGGCAATTTATTTACATGTCAAAGTATGCAAACTAAGATTAGCTTGTTAACCTTCACCAAGTATTTCTCACTCCCATGCCCAAGTTCTTGTTCTCACTGCCTTTGTACACACATGATAGACAGCTGGATGTGACATACTTTAGTAGTCCATCTCTTCACAAGGGGAAAATGTTTTATAGTTTCCAAGATCATCAGGTTCCAGTTTCCACAGCTGAAAAGTACACTGCTCTAAAGCAGGGCCGTAAATAGGAAGGTGCATAATTCTCCTTTTGTGGACTAATGAAGGGATTCAGGAAGTATTCAAGAATTTGAATACTTGAATTTCTCACCTTCTCTGGGAAAAGAACCGATCTGTTTAACTACATCCTTCCCTTCTAAGCGTAGATAATAGCTGTATCAACCTGCAAACCCCCCTAATATCACAGAATCACACAGAATAACTGAATGTCAGGGATTGGAAGGGACCTTGAAAGATCATCTAGTCCAATCCGCTGCTGGAGCAGTAACCTAAATGAAATCACACAGGAAGGCGTCCAGGCAGGTCTTGAATGTCTCCAGAGAGAACACAAGGAGACTCCACAACCTCCCTGGGCAGCCTGTTCCAGTGCTCTGTCACCCTCACTGTAAAGAAGTTTCTTCTCAAGTTTAAGTGGAACCTCCTGTGCTCCAGCTTGCATCCATTGCCCCTTGTCCTGTCATTGGTTGTCACCGAGAAGAGTCAGCTTGTAATAGTTATTGAAAAACCCCCAAATAACTGTCTCTCCTTTGCCCCAAGAAGCAACAATTATTTCTAGAGCTTTTTCAAAAGCATTTTCCAGCTAAAGCCATAACTCTACTGGACAACACAAGTGATCTGGATTGGCTACAAACCACAAGAAAGCAATGATGCAAGAGTACAGGCCACAACACTTAAAGAACAATAATGATAATGAAAGGTGAGGACTGTAATTCTGTCAAAGCAACTACTGGACAGACATAAAAGGACTAACCCACTCTAAAGGCAAGTGGCTTTCCTTGATTTAGCTTTTCTTGTTCCCTGTGGTAGGATAATACCTTCTGAAGGAGCACCTGGGCTATTTTCTTCTTCCTACTCTGAGTTGATTCTACAAGTGTAATGGCTTCTGCTAAACAGGCTCTGTGACCCTGGATTAGTCCATTGTAAAGTCTGTCTACCAGTCTTTGTTCTCTGTCAGAAAGTCCCTCTATTTGCTGGTCAGGGGCCACTTGTTGACACAGCTTTCTCCTCAGACCGTTTGATGAACATATCCATTCTGTACGACAGTGATGCACTGGCATAAGAGATTCCACGCACAGGAAATCTGCTCTGGAAGTGACGTGAAAGTTTGCAAAGTAAGTTCTTCTAGAGAAATAACAACGAGGGAATCTCAGCAGCAAAGAGGGGATCTTCATCTTGTTTGGAATTACAAGTACCAGGTATCAGTTCTCTTCTGTTTGTAGACACCCTAAACACAAACAAAAAAAAATTTTTATAACCTTCAAAGCACTTGTAAGGATTCAAATGAAACCCATGTACCCAGGCAATCATCAGCTTTTATTTTATTCATATCTACTGTTTTAAACAAAAAAGATAGTCCCCTCTTACCATTGAAAAAATAGAACAAAAAGAAGCTACAGAATCTTCAACAGCATAGTATATCTTTATTATAATGCTTAATAAAATATTCATAGAATCAAAGAATCATAGAATCACAGAATGGTTCGGGGTGGAAGGGACCTTAAAGCTCATCCAGTTCCAACCCCCCTGCCATCAGCAGGGACACCTTCCACTAGACCAGGTTGCTCAAAGCCTCATCCAGCCTGGCCTTAAACACTTCCAGGGAGGGGGCATCCACAGCTTCTCTGGGCAACCTGTGCCAGTGTCTGACCACCCTCACAGTGAAGAACTTCTTCCTAATATCTAATCTAAACCTGCCCTCTTCCAGTTTAAAGCCATTACCCCTTGTTCTGTCATTAACTGCCCTTATGAAAAGTCCCTCCCCAGCTTTCTTGTAGCCCCTTCAGGTACTGGGAGGCCGCTATAAGGTCTCCCCGGAGCCTTCTCTTCTCCAGGCTGAACAGCCCCAACTCTCTCAGCCTGTCCTCACAGCAGAGGTGCTCCAGCCCTTGGATCATCCTCGTGGCCTCCTCTGGACTCATTCTAGCTGCTCCATGTCTCTCTTGTGTTGTAAGCAAGCAGATAAATACAAAGCACTTTTAAATAAGACAGCCTCAAAGAGCGCACAGGGTAGCCTAAAAATCCAGGAACAAACCAACCAAACCAACCCTTACACTCATTGAAACTGCTGTATATTCTATTTTCACGGCTGCAGGGTTTTTAAAACAATTATTCAGAATGAGATTTTGTACCTTATTTCCAGAAGAAAAAAAAAAAATAAATTAAAAAGCACTCAAGACACATGAAATATATTAAAATAACTAAATTTTAGGAATAAATTGAGGAGCCGAAGCCTTCCAGCGGGCCGACACCAAGGCACACCCACCACCCCCTCTGGCCCTGCTGTGACCCACCTCGGCACCGAGAAAAGCCTAAAACCAAACCGAACTTGGCAGAGCTCCTCCGAGCGCCCGGTGGGCCACTCCCCCAGCCCAGCTCC